GGAGCGCAACTCTGATTCCTGAAAAAACTCCCCATTGAAGGGCGGAACAGAAGCAGGAAGCTTTGTGGGAGACGGGTGTATGTTTGTTGTTAGATGCAATTCCAGCAGGGTCTGTACAAAAAGAGGCTGTAGCTTTTGCATCCACTTCCATCCGCTGATGACATTACTAGCATGGAAGCACAAACACATGGGTCATATCCAACACACCCACCTCTAACCTTCCCATTTATGAGTCAGGCCCCCAGAATAACCAGTGCTGGGTTCTTTGTGTTTGCCCTCCGGCTTCGAAGCCTTTAGGATTCACATCCTCCAGCTTTTCTTGGCAAAGACGTGAACTCAATTTGTTTTTTAAATGTCTAGATCTTCCCACAATTGCCTGACTCCAGGAGCTAGTGAAGAAACATCTAATCCTGCGAGAACTCAGCATAAAATCGCAAACGCTGGTGACTCTTCAAATCCATCCCTCCTGTCAACAGTGTCAAGGGACGAATTGGGGCTCATGGTTTAAAAGCTTTTTCACTGCTCAGTGCCATCCCTGCTCCCCATGTTATGCATTGGCAAGTCCTTCCCTTGCAACACAGTAGCAGTGCTTTGCTTCTGATTCCTAACGGCCAGTGGGAGGGGAGTGCAGCCCGTCGGGTCCTCCACATTCAGCCTTAATCAAGGCCTTTACGGTAGCTGCATTGCCGCTGAGGACAGAGCGGTGAAGAGGAGTCCAGCCCATTTTGTTCTTAACATGGACATCTGCCTTGAGCTCCAGGAGGTTGATGCTACTTAGGAAGGCCCCCTGCTGCACGGCAAGGTGGAGAGGGGTCCACTCTGATTTCTCAGCAGCCTTGGGGTTCACCCCACTCTTCACTGTGGTGGGCAGCCACATGAAGCGGCGTCCAACCCCTGCCTCCTTTGACATGGCTGTGTTAGCAGGCAGAGCATTTCAATGCAGCCTTTGAAACAAGCGAGGTATAGAGGAGTCCTCAAGTCCACATCTGCCCCATATTTGATCCATTTCTCGCATATCAGATACTTCCCCTTCACAGCAGCCATGTGCAAAGCACTGGAGTGATGCTCATCCAGGCAGCTGACAGACGCCCTGCTCTTCAGCAGATATTGCACCCCTCTAAAAGTACCCCTCTCCACAGCGAGGTGCAGTGGGGTTCAATGGGTCTTCTGCTTCCCTTCATGGTCAGCTCCTTGGCTGGCCAGGGGTGCCACGTGGCTGAGGTGCCCGCAGTAAGCTGCCGCGTGGAGGGCAGTTCTCCCATCGTTCTCCTGGCATGCGGGGTCAGCCTGGCGAGAGAGCAGCATCCAGGCGACATTCTCAAAGTGGTTCTGAGATGCCAAGTGGAGCGGAGTCCTTCACATTCTTGGGAGTCTGCCCATGCCTGCTGGACCAGCAGGAGGCGCACAAACATCCCCATTCTGAAGTGAAAAGGGGACCAGCCGTCTTTGTTGGCCATGTTGACATCTGTATCATGCTCGATTAGAATGGAATAGATCTCTGGTGACCCCTTCTGCACAGCCATGAGTGGGGTGAGGCCACAGCCAAGCTGGCTGTCCACACTGGCCTCCTGCCTCAACAGAAACTTCACCTTCTCCACATTTCCTTGAGTGTCACCGCGGGTACGTCTACATGGCACAGCTATTTCAAAATAAGCTACATAAGAACAGCCGTACTGGGTCAGACCAAAGGTCCATCTAGCCCAGCTTCCTATCTACCAACAGTGGCCAGCACCAGGTGCCCCAGAGAGGATGGACCGAAGACAATGATCAAGTGATTTGTCTCCTGCCATCCCTCTCCAGCCTCTGGCAGACAGAGGCCAAGGACACCATTTTATCCCCTGGCTAATAGCCTTTTATGGACCTAACCTCCATGAAATTATCTAGCTTCTCTTTAAACTCTATTATAGTCCTAGCTTTCACAGCCTCCTTTGGCAAGGAGTTCCACAGGTTGACTACACGCTGTGTGAAGAAGAACTTTCTTTTATTAGTTTTAAACCTGCTCCCCATTAATTTCATTTGGTGTCCTCTAGTTCTTCTATTTAGGGAACTAATAAATAACTTTTCTTTATCGGCCCTCTCCACACCACTCATGATTTTATAGACCTCTAGCATATCCCCCCTCAGTCTCCTCTTTTCTAAACTGAAAAGTCCCAGTCTCTTTAACCTCTCCTCATATGGGACCAGTTCCAAACCCCTAATCATTTTAGTTGCCCTTTTCTGAACCCTTTCCAAGGCCAAAATATCTTTTTTGAGGTGAGGAGACCACATCTGTACACAGTATTCAAGATGTGGGCGTACCATAGTTTTATACAGGGGCAGTAAGATATTCTGGGTCTTATTTTCTATCCCTTTCCTAATAATTCCTAGCATCCTATTTGCCTTTTTGACCGCCGCTGCACTCTGTGTGGAAGTTTTCAGAGAACTGTCCACGATAACTCCAAGATCTCTTTCCTGATTTGTCGTAGCCAAATTAGCCCCCATCATACTGTACGTATAGTTGGGGTTATTTTTCCCGATGTGCATTACTTTACACTTATCCACATTAAATTTCATTTGCCATTTTGTTGCCCAATCACTCAGTTTGGTGAGATCTTCTTGGAGTCCCTCACAGTCTGCTTCTGTCTTGACTATCCTAAACAGTTTGGTATCATCTGCAAACTTTACTACGTCACTGCTTACCCCTTTCTCCAGATCATTTATGAATAAGTTGAAAAGGATTGGTCCCAGGACTGACCCTTGGGGGACAACCCCTCTCTATTCTGAAAATTTACCATTTATTCCTACCCTTTGTTTCCTGTCTTTTAACCAGTTCTCAATCCAAGAAAGGACCTTCCCTCTTATCCCATGGCCATGTAATTTACACAAGAGCCTTTGGTGAGGGACCTTGTCAAAGGCTTTCTGAAAATCCAAGTATACTATATCTACTGGATCCCCCTTGTCCGCATGTTTGTTAACCCCTTCAAAGAACTCTAATAGATTAGTAAGACAGGATTTCCCTTTACAGAAACCATGTTGACTTTTGTCCAACAAATTATGTTCTTCTACATGCCTCACAATTTTATTCTTGACTATTGTTTTGACTAATTTGCCCGGTTCTGAAGTTAGACTTACTGGTCTGTAATTGCCAGGATCGCCTCTACAGCCCTTTTTAAATATTCGCGTCATGTTGGCTACCTTCCAGTCATTAGGTACTGAAGCCGATTTAAAGGATAGGTTACAAACCACAGATAATAGCTCAGCAATTTCCCATTTAAGTTCTTTTAGAACCCTTGGATGAATGCCATCCGGTCCCGGAGATTTGTTAACATTAAGTTTTTCTATTTGTTCCAAAACCTCCTCTAATGACACTTCAATCCGGGACAGTTCCTCAGATTCATCACCCACAAAGGACGGTGCAGATTCAGGAATCTCCCCAACGTCCTCAGCCATGAAGACTGTAGCAAAGAAATCATTTAGTTTCTCCGTAATGGCTTTATCGTCCTTGATTGCTCCTTTTATAGCTCGATCATCTAGGGGACCCACAGGTTTTTTAGCAGGCTTCCTGCTTCTAATGTACTTAAAAAACATTTTGCTATTTCTTTTTGCGTTTTTGGCTAGCTGTTCCTCAAAATCTTTTTTTGCTTTTCTTATTACATTTTTACACTTGATTTGACAGTGTTTATGTTCTTTTCTATTTATCTCACTAGGATTGGACTTCCACTTCTTAAAAGATACCTTTTTGTCCCTCACTGCTTCTTTTACATGGTGGTTAAGCCACGGTGACTCTTTTTTAGGTCTTTTGCTATGTTTTTTAATTTGGGGTATACATTTAAGTTGGGCCTCTATTATGGTGTCTTTAAAAAGTTTCCATGCAGCTACTCTGGAATAGTTATTCAAAATAGCACGTCTACACTGCAGGGAAGCCTCGAAATTAGTCCGAGGCAGGCTTCTCTAATAGAGACAAGCTATCTTGATTTAGAGCCCCAGGAGGCACTGGGGAGGAATAACACAGAATGGCCCTGGTGAGAGGCTATTTCAAAATAGCAACAGTGGAGCATCTACACACGCCGTATTTCAAAGTAGCTATTTCAGAATAGGGGTTATTCCTTGTAGAATGAGGTTTACGGATTTAAGAATAAGCCATCCGTTATTTTGAAATTATTATGAAATAACGGAATGGCTGTGTAAACACTCATGTTGTTATTTTGAAATAACAATGCAGTGTAGATGCACACCACAAGATGAATTAGGGTGAGGCCATTTTCTTGGCACCTGAGAACTTCCTTGGTCATTATGAAGCTCTCCAGGACCCTGACCTTGCTGGCAAAGGACAGAGGAAACAGAGTATGACAAAGAGAAAGCAACTGAATATTAGAGCCTGAGGGTTCCCAAGGGGAATTCTGGATGCCCACAGCTCAAAATAAAACTTATATATGTGCATCTGCAGAGTATAAATCCAAAGGAAAGGCACCTGCCTGCTTGTCTGCAATGGCACAGGGCTATATGGGTTGGAGATACTTGGCATCTTTCTCCTGGGAACTTTATATTTGTTCTTTTTTTGTTTGCATTTTTCCTTAATCTGAAATTGAAATCACCCAGCCTGAAAGAACATGGATTGCTCTTTTTTATGGAGACTATCATAGAGGAAAGGCGGAAGACAGGGCTGTTCTTATTTCTAGCCCAATTGATTCTCAGCTGAAGTTTATGAGCAAAGGTCCCCAACTCACCACTACTACTTGTGTCTTGAGAGAGGATGGGTCCTTCTTTGTGGCTCTTGTTTAAAGGTAGGAGAAATAATAGGAAAAGAATATGATGGACAGTTTGTTACTTGCAATTTACCATTTGTGTGTTTCATATTCTTCCCATTTACCATGCTAGGATTTTGTGCCATTTTTTTTACCATGTTTGTTTGTTATTACATTGAAAAATCAGCCAAGAGAATCATAGCACAAATAGGAATGCAAAAGTGAAAATACAAGACTTGGGGTTATTAGAAAGCATCCAAATGGCCACTTTTACCTTAAAAGTTAAATCAATTTCCTTGGGAATGCTAACCCACTGATAAACTTCATGCAGAGTGAGGTTCCTTAATATTAATAGCCCATTTTGAAAAATTAATCTTGAAAGAAAACAATTACATGAAATAACAAATCACAGAGCTGCCAAGACTTCCACTTGTTGAAGATTACAGACAATCCTTTGGAGGAAAAGAAACAGGTTTCGTCTGTCTCTATAATCTATCTCCCATGCTGATACTCCACAATTCCACTGTAGCAATTTCCAATAATCTTTTGGAAGAAATCCCTTCCCATATTGCAGTCTAAGGGAGTCTCTTTGGAGTCTGAACTGATGCATCCTGGGAAACTTGCATGATAATTAGGTTTTGCTGACCCTCTTTCCTTAGTCACTTCTTTCTAAAGCTAAATGTTCCATTTTCATTATTTCAGTGTTTAATGATAGCATCTCGGATGCCCTTTTACATGTCCTCCCAGGGAATCTGAACAAAACTTCCTTCCTCTGCACTTGTCTTCATCTGTTCTCTCGCTAACTTTAACAAATGGAAAAAATGAAATTACAACATGAAGACTCTTTTAGTCCTCCTGTGTTACTTCTTCCCTTGTACCCTTTACACCAGGGGTGGGCAAGATCTTGCCCATGGGCTGAATTCGGCCCGCCAATCCGGCCGGCCCACCCCTGCAGCAGGAAGCAGCACCACTCAAAGCAGCTAGCTGCTGCCTGTGGCTCTCTGAGCTGCAGAGAGAGAGGCTTCACATGTTCCCTCTGCCCCTAGAAAAATCTCTCAGCTCCTATTGGCTGAAAACCAGCCAATAGGAGCTGAGAGATTTTTATGAGCATTAGGGCAACATGCAAAGCCTCTCCCTTGCTCTTCCTCCCCCCCTTGTCGGCCCTTGACCACTTACCAAAATCTTGGAGTGCCCCCCCATCCAAAATTATTGCCCACCCCTACTTTACACGCACCTACATTCCAGGAGCTGGACTAAAATCCATGCCAAATATCTGGCCTGATTCCTGATTTTGTTCTAGTCAGAAAAACAAGTGGAAATTTAAGAGCAAAAATGCACCGAGTAGCATGTGCCCATTTTAATGCAACATATATCGGCCTCCTCAGAGTTGGAAAACGTCATCTGAAGCTTTATGCTAGGAACTAAGGACTCAGTCCTGCAATTAACTCTGCCTGGGCAAATCCCCACAGAGAGCTCCATTGGACTCTGCCAGCAGCTTGCTGTAGGCTCCAATCTTGCATGATATCCAGCCCTACTTCGGCTGTGTGCTTGCAGCTCAGGAGAAAATTATTTTCCCCGGCCCGCCTGCCTCCCAGACAGCACAGACTTACATCCCTCCAGGGATGGGGAGGACATCTCACCCTGAGGATCAGGCCCACAACTTTTTGGCACCTGAGGCGGGGAGCTCAAATGACACCCCCATGCTCCCTTTTCTCCTGCCTGCCTGTTAGGTCTCTTGTGCCCTCCTTCCTCCAGCACAGCACCCCCCCATCTCTGTGCATCTAGAGCAGAGAGAATACATATGCACCAGCAACAGACACAATTTACTACACCCTGGCTGCATCTAGACTGGCACGATTTTTCACAAATACTTTTAACGGAAAAGTTTTTCCGTTAAAAGTATTATACAGGCATGCGCCTTTGCGCAAAAGATTTGCTTTTGCGCAAAAGCATCAGTGCCAGTGTAGACGCTCTCTTGCGCAAGAAAGTCCCGATGGCATTTTAGTCATCGGGCTTTCGTGCGCAAGCAATTAACTTGGCTGTCTACTTGCCCTCTTGCACAAGAATACTTGCACAAGAGGGCTTATCCCTGAGTACAGTACAAAGTCAGTGTTCGTGGCGAGTGTAGACAGGTGGCAAGATTTTGTGCAAAAGCAGCTGCTTTTGTGCAAAATCTTGCCAGTCTAGATGCACCCTCTGAGTCCTAGTGGCACCCCCTCACAGCCTGGCACCTGAGGCGGCTGCCTCAGTTCACCTCATGGTAAGGGCAGCTCTGCTGAGGATGGGCTAAAGCTCCTTCCTGGTAGATAATAAGAACCGCCTCCATCTAAACAGCCCTGAATCTCACTGGCCAGCTTCCTAAATTCATAGGTTCTCATCTCAGTAATGAAGAAGGAAACACCAGAGAGAGCATCCTGTAGAAAAAGATACAGAGGCGCTCTGATCAGTGAGGGGCAGATCACAGTGGAAAAAGAGATACAACTCCCTCCCGAGTGTGAAAAGATGGGTCAGAAAATTCTGCCAAGGAGCTAGAGAGCATTTCTCTGCGGGTGGGGTGGGTCTTCTTACTTTTTGGCTCCCAGATAGGGTGGACTTGTGAGATCTTCCTGACCAAGCTCCCATCTTCAGATCCACCATGAGGCATATAAATGACAGAAAGATGTCAGTTTCCACAGGGATCGCTACACCCAGGGAAAGGCTCTTGAGAACTAAGTTGAGAACAGTTCCCCTCTCCGTCAAGATCCAGAGTTCCACAAGCACATTGGGAAGGTGAAAATCCAGGAGCAATGAGCGTAAAAGGGAAGGTGTTTGGGCAGGACCTGGCCCCTACACACCTCAATGCAACCAGCCAGTTAGTCTCAGTCCTCCACAGAGTGTCACACAGGATGGGCTTTTTCCGGGACAGCTCTGAATCATAGAATCCTAGAGCTGGAAGAGACTTCAGGAGGTCATCAAGTCCAGCCCCCTGCCCAAGGCAGGACCAATCCTAGCTAAGACGCAGTACTCAGATGCAGAGAACCCCTAGAGAGGATCACAGCAGCGTCTTTTGGGGCTTGCTTTCACCACAGGCATCCGACAGAAGCGTCTAACGAAGACCCCTGAACTGTTCCCTCTAATCTTTTCTATCCATGTGCGGAATCATTTTTACGAGCACCAAGACATGTGCGGATGTGCACCACCAATAGAAACATAAAACCTAGCTGTGGGTGCTCTGCTAGTCAGCAGGGTGGCATTTGAATCTCTCCTGAGTGGCAGCACAAGTGCACAGCTTGCAGGGAAGAGTGGTTCACAGATGCAGCTCCCTGGGACCAGCAGTTTGAGATCCTTGAGAAGAACATGGCCAGAGGGGGGCTCAGATAAAGACTGCTTGTGAGAAGCCCATAAATTGCCAGGAGTTTAAACTAAAAGTGGGGCTGAGCTGCAGCGTTCAAACCCCCATCCCAACTTTCCCCCCAAGGGTCAGAAATACTGGGCATCTGGCTCTTTGCTTCAACTGACGGAGGAGCCATTCTTGACATCTAGAACCGCTTCCAGCTGCAACCATCAGGCTGGGCGTTTAGTACCAGGGTTTGGCTTTGCCCTCAGCTGAGTGTCACACTTGGATGCCACACCCATGAAGCACGGTCTTCTCCTCGGGTCTTGGTCCCAGCACTTCTTCATCAAGTCAACCAGCTGCTGGTGTTCCCCTGGCCACTCCTCACCGACGGACACGAGACAGGGCCTCTTGCCTGCTGACACCCTGGCTATGATGGCCATCATGCGGGCTCCTGAAAAAGAGTCAGCAATGTGCATTGGACTGGTTTTCCATTAATATATTGGAGCAGCCGGGAACTATGGTAGTGACAGCAGGGTGTACCATCCAACTGGGGCCACCGACTTGCTGCTTAGGAACCGCACTGCCTTGTTTGGAGCAAACCTACCTCTGTGCCTTTGCAACAGCTGAGGGTCGGCAGTCCGTTGGAGCAAGCCCTGTGATCAGGGGCAGCCTGTGCCTATAGATAAACTCAGCAGTCGCCTAGGGCTCCGAGTTAAATGGGGCACCAAATTCCCTGCCACTTCCCCTTACACCTGGCTTCGGCCCCGGAGGAGCATCGTGGCTTCCCTGCACCGCAGGAGGGGTGAGTCAGCCCTGGGAGAGATGAGTGCTAGCTTCCTCTGGGGGGGGGGGGGGGAATCATGGAAGGAGGCGGCTGCAGGGGACTCTCTCCCCCCACTGGCACCCTGTTCCCTCTCCCCCGTCCCCAGCCACAGAACTCCATCCCCGACCCCCTTCTCCCCAGCCACAGAACCAAAAACCTCAGTCTATATCTGCCCTTGGGGTTGGGGGAGGGCAGGGGGAAGCACCAATTGCATGGTTCACCTAGGGCGCCAGTTGCTGGCAGCTAGTCTAGGGATGCCTCTGATTATCCCCCCAGTCCCTAAAGCAGGCTGAAAGTTTATCGCCATGCTGATGGGAGGAGGCCCCTGTCTCTTAGATGACACCGTGCCATTTAAGTCAACAGATGAAGCCACTAGTTGATTTTCAGCTCATTTATCCTCAGTTCCCAACAGCAGCATCTGGTCACATAGTCACCAGACAGGCAGCCTGGTCTAAGTGCAGGAATGGCAGTCAGGGCTTTTTGAGTCTATTCCTGGCGCTGCCACTGACTCACACTATGGCTTTGGGCGAGTTACTTGATTCCTCTCCACTTCAATTTAGTCTGCTGTATTTTCCAGGGCTGTTGGGACTTGGGGTTACTCATTCAGCGAGTGCACAGTGCTTTGGAGGCAAAGATCGGTGTGGAAAGCTTTGTAATTTTTAATGCTATCTGAGCGTGGCTTCTTTTGCATAAGAACCTCTGAAATGATAATCCCGGAGCCGCAGGCAAAGATAGGTCAGCAGCAACAGCCCATGCAACATTCCCAGGAAACCCCAGCCCCCTCTACCCACCTTGCCTCAGTGATTCACTTGCCAGTCATCATCCAGCTCCTGCCACAGGGGCAAATTGCAGTCTGAAATGGCCGCTCATCCTTGGTGAGGGGGTGTGGCCCTGCTGCCTTTGCCTATCCTGGCTGTCTCCTTGCAGCCCTAGTACCCTCAGGCCTTAAGAGCAAGGCCTCAGCCTGGGAGTTTGTCTGGCCAGTGTTTCCCAGCTCTGCCTGTCCCCACCCCCAGAAGCCTCTATAGCTTCCCGAACACTCAGATTCCACTTGCTCTACTGCTGGAGCAAGAGTGAGTCAGCTCCCACCAGGAGCCCTTACATACACAGCCCCAGCAAGGGGGGGGGGGGCACTAATTGGCTGTATCCGCCTCAGCTGCAGGCTCCACTCTGACAGATTTCTCCCAGGGCTGGGTTTAATCCTTGTTAGGCCGGTGCGGGACAGCCTCCCCATCACAGTCCCCTCCTATCTAACTTGAGATGTAAGGAATCCGGGGAACATAAGTCGTTGGCCTTTCTCCTGTAGGGCACCCGACACTGACCAAAGCCAAGCTGATACCCAAATGCAAAGGCCAAACAGAACCGCGGTTGCGTCAATAACTCTAAGCAGTGCCTGTTGAGCAAGAGCCCACATGCTGCCTGCATTGTGGTTTAATGTTATTCCTCTCCTCCGATGGCCTAACAGGGTGTGATGGAGCTGGAGGCGATACAGCACACAAGTCATGCCGGGTCAGAACTGTAGAGAAATGCAGCTGGCTGGAGACAGATGACTCTCCACAGATAAACTCACCCCTGATGAGGGGTAAGCAGCACATGTCGCTCCCGGCATGTTCCGCACCAGGGACATTATGCAAGGAAGAGAGCCAGAATGTAAACAAAATTAGGCAATGCACAATCGCTCTCACATCGCACAGGAGTGAGACAGCAACTCCACGCTGACCTCTGGACAGACATCCCCAGCTGCGGCTGCCTCCCCTCTAGTCACTGCTGGGCAGCCCTTGTTCCCGGTGGCCTGGTGCTCTGGAGAAGTATTTCAGGTGGGACGTAGCTCAGGGTGCCCCTCAAGGCTGATCTCTCCATGTACGGCATCCAGCTCGGCTGCTCCATCCATCTAGATAAGCCAAAATCTGAAATCGGGGCCAGGTATAGCCTCCCTTTCTAATGCCCAGCACACCCCCTCTGCCTGCTTGCTCAGACAGCTGCGCCCTACATGGCTACAGACAGATGGAAGGTGTTGAGGTTAAGGTGCAGGGAATTAACTTCTGAGGTGTGTTGAAGTCAGTGGGAAATTTGCCATAGAGTTTGATGGGGGCCAGGATTATGTAATAGAAACTGGATCCCTGGATCCAATACCCAGCTATGCCACACTCTCCATTTGACTCTCTGTGTCTTGGTTCCCAGCAATGTTCCCTCTACTTTTTTCCATCCATGTGCAGAATAAATTGTTTCCAGTTATGTGCACCACCCTTAAAAACACAAGCAGCTATGGGTGCTTCTGCTAATCAGCTGGGCGGTATTTGAATCTCTCTCAGGTGATCCCCCCCAAATGCTCGACTTACAGGAAACACTGGTTCCCAGTCCCACCTTGTGTGTTCTGTCCCTTTCTTCTACTCTCTGTTTTGTCTATTTCAGCAGTCGGCAAACTAAGGCAGGTGATGTTCTTTGGGATAATCCAAAGTCTGAAATCTGGGCCAGTTATAGCCTCCCTCTCTAATACCCAGCACACCCCGTCTGCCTGCTTGCTCTAAACAGCTAAGCACGACTGTAAAACAACTAATAAATAACATCGATAATGGAGAGAAGCCATTCTTATACACCCAGCCCTAACGCCTTACCTTATCGTACCTATTCCCATCTAGAAGGATATTTCCCAGTTTTAAGTCGAAGTGAAGCAAAGGGGGTGTCATGCTATGCAGGAAGTTCATAGCAAGCCCTGTCTCATGGATAATGCGGAACTTGAGCTGCTAGGACAGTTTGTGGGAGTCTCCTAAGACCCCAGGACCATGTGTTCCATCACTGCCCCCAGAGGGCTGTTGTAAAGCCCATAGATGGGGACGATGGGCTGAAGCAATGGTGCAGTCTAGGCCTGCATCACACACACACACACCCAGAAAGTGTGTGGTTTCTTCTAGCTCATTTTGGGGGGATTTGGGAGCCTTACACAACCCCACCTTGGAGCCTGTCTGAAACTTTGCAGATAAAAGAGAACTGAATTGTTTCTATTACATATGAGAGCACGGGACTGCTGGGGAGGGACACAAGGGGGACACCGGCCATGTGACTCCCTCCCCCCATGACTCCTCCTTGGCAGAGGGAAGCACAGTGGAGCAAGATGGGCTAAGGCCAGGTCGCTCTTCTTCCTGCCACTAATCCCATGGGCTGCCCTTGGTCACGTGGGACTGGGGACAGCTCTACCCACAATGGGCTTAAAAACTCAGCAAGGGAGATTTAAGTTAGACAATAAGAAAATCTTCTTGTCAGGGTGGTTAAACACTGAAAGAAATTGCAGAGGGAGGCTGTGGAATCTCCATCACATATTTAAGACACCTGTCAGGGACAATCTAGATGGTGCTTGGTCCTGTCGTGAGGCCAGGGGACTGGATCTGATGACCTCTTGAAGTCCCCTCCAGTTGTAGTGTTCTATGATTCTATGGTAGAGGGCAGCATCATATTTACAAAGGTGCTTTGCTGCCTTTCTGGCTGTGTAAAGGGGCCTGAAAGAAGATGGAATCTGCTCTCTAACAATACTCAGCTGATGTAGAACCTGCATAAAAGCTCTATAGCAGTCCTACTTCCAGCCCCTGCAGCCGAGGCAGATGTGGGGCATGGCCAGAGGCACTGTGAATAGTCTGTGCGTCTGAGATGCCAGGAAACAGCACATGAATTGAAGCAGCCCCAAGGTTGCTCTGAATTAAGATGAGAGCTAGGAAGACCCCCTTGCAAAATCCTACAATATGGAGGGTGCAAAGTGGCTTAGTTCAAAAATAGAGTTACTTAAATCCCAGAGAGAACTGTGCAGTGTATACTAACGGGGCACAACTATAGGTAATTACTCTAAATTTAGGCATTCAAATTTCTTTTTCAAACCCTAGTCACAGTGCAAACATTTTCATAACCTTCAGTTATTACTTCCCTCCTTTCCCCAAAATGTAAATACCTTTTTGTCTGCATGTAAGGACCCCTCTGCAGTGTATCTGTGTTAGTTTGTGGAAACCATTCAGTGAAAGTTACTAGGAATGCCTATACAAAAAAAAAAAAAAAAGCAAAAGTGACTTTTCTAACTTTGTTTCCCAAGTGGAGGGGAATACAAAATCAGCATTCAAGCAAAGAGCATAAGTAATGCAAGCTAAATGAAACGGTCTCTGAGGGGTGGCCGTGTTCGCCTGTAACTTTAAAAACAATGGGTAGTCCTGTGGCACCTTAAAGACTAACAAATATATATATAGTATCATGAGCTTTTGTGGGCTCACCTGAAGAAGTGGGTTTTGCCCATAAAAGCTCGTGATGCTATATATATATATATATATATATATATGTGTGTATATATATATATATATATATATATATACACTTAAAAGAAATAGCTGACATTCAGATTACATGTTCTCAGCTGTTTTTAGCAACACAGAAGAAGGGAGGTTTATATAATATATACGCACGTGTGAGGGAGATGTAACCTGACAGAGTCCTACCCATAAATGGTGAAAGGCAGCAACTTTGGTCTGTGAGTGAGTCACAGACACGCTCTGCACTGGCTTTGAATACCCTGTCTTTGCTCTGGGTCCATTCCCAATGCAGTGGGTTAATGCCTTCAGGACAGTGAGGTGTGAGTCCTCAAGAGGAGTTACAGGGGAGACAGATGCACACGACAAAGAACCCCAGGGAACGTGGAGGCTGGGCTAGTCCAGGAGCACAGAGCATTGTAACTGGGAGCTCTCTGGTCTAGCAAAGACACTTGGACTGTGCTCCCTTGTTCTTTTTTCCACCCATCTCTAACCTCTCTGAGCACTGGCTAAAAATCCACAAACCTTAATGGGAGGCATCTAAATCCATTATTAAGTATTTAAACAGCAGTAGGCCAATATTTTTAAAAAGTGCTCAATTTCCACAAAGCCCATTAAAGTCAGTAGGAAATCACTTGGGGCATGACCAGAAGCCATGGTTATGGACACACCTGTACAGAATTTGGCCACTAGGCTTGACTGTTAGGGGACAATTTTCTTGGCACTGAATATAGAGCTTTGTTCATACTGTGCACACACAAAGGCGAGAAAGCGAATGATTTCACTTAACAGTTAAGTTTCCTGATTCCTTCCAATGCCAAGTCCCACGGGAGGCTGTTGAGAAGCTCAGAGAGGCTCCTTTTCCTTAGAACTTTGTTACCGAATCAACGCAGCTGTGGACAGATGGCAGGTTGATTGATACCTCAGAGTTTGAGGGGGGGAGTGTCCTTGTCGGAGCTGGAATCCAGGAGCAGACAGGGGGAGCATGTCACAGCATAGACCCTCCTCCATCGCTTGTGCGTCACTTGGTGCACCTGCCCAAAGCCTCCGCTAGGCAACCTGACCCACTCTCCTTCAAAATCACCCGTATTGAAAACTGTTCAACTGCCCGAGCACTGGTGCATTGTGAAAGCATGAGGAAGCGGCAGCCCTGCCAACTGCCTTCTGCTTGTCTGGTATCAGGAAGGAACCCAGGGAGACTGCTTCCTGATACTCATTTGCACTAGAAAGAGGGTGGGGTGGGGTGTGAGGTGCGTTGTGTTGCACACTGCCAAAAGGTGGGTCCAAATGTGACTTTTAATCATCTGCCAAGACGTCAAGTTAACAGATCCTAGCATATCATGCCAAACCCTGAATGGCACTGAGGCCAGGAGTACCCCTCGCCCACATCCTCAAAAGTAGTTCGGTTCAAAACATAATGCAGAGTCTGAGCCTCCTTCTCCAGGCTTTTATAAGATTGTCCATCCCTCTAGTATTGTGGATATGGATAAATATAGTGGAAACTGCAATGCAAAAAGGAACCACGCAAATGCCCCTGTTCCACCACAACTGCAATGTAGGCAAACATAGCCTTGTGCTTGCTTGAACAGGATCGGACATTTGCAGCTAAAGGAGTCCTCTAGGCACTCCCAACTCCTCAGTAGGTGGTTTGTAGGTCAAAAGGTGAAAGGGGTTTTATTTAAAGATAAATCCAGAGGGGTCTAGTGCTGCAGACTTGCCATGTTCCCCAGGGCAGGTGGCTGTAAATAAAGGAATATGACAAAAATACTCCAGGTGACACAGGAGAAGACAAATGAGAATGGCCCCGCACAGACCCAGGGGGAATAGAAAGCATGAAACTGAGAAAGTGTTAAAAAGAAGCAGAGAGAGAGAGGATAGGAAGGGCTGTTACCTACAGGATGAACCAGATATTCAAGTGCCTGAGAAGCAAGGGGCAGATAAAAGTCCCAACAACTGAACGAGTGGTAGAGGCTTAGGCAGAAATTGTGTGAAGTCTGGTGTCCTGAACAACGTATCTATCTAAATATCCCCTTGTAGTGTCCATAAGCTAGGATACCCTGTTGCATCTCTTCCTGCATAAACAACACTGTTGTATGCTTCAAACACGGCTGCATTTTAGTGGAGAATGAAGCAATGCCCATTTATAAACATACAGGCTGTGTTTACACTGGCGTGATCTTGCGCAAAAGCAGCCGCTCTTGCGCAAAAACTTGCTGCCTGTCTACACTGGCCACGTGTTCTTGCACAAGTAAACTGAGGTACTAATGTATGAAATCAGGGCTTCTTGCGCCACAACTCTGACGCTCCCGCTCAGGAATAAGCCTTTTTGCACAACTGTTCTTGCGCAAGAGGCCAGTGTAGACAGGCAACATGAATTTCTTGCACAAGAAAGCTCTATGGTTAAAATGGCCATCAGAGCTTTCTTGAGCAAGACAGCGTCTACACTGGCAAGGATGCTTTTGCGCAAAAGCACATGCCAGTGTAGACGCTCTCTTGCGCAACTACGTTAACGCAAGAACTCTTGCACTAAAGAGTTTTTGCGCAAGATCTCGCCAGTGTAGATGTAGCCACAGAGTCTGATTCTCATTGGCACTAAGCTTTAAAGAGAGGCCTTAAAGAGGGCCTAGACCCCATGAGGACTAACCTTATCATAGGTAATCAGCCATTTGTAAATTAGCTGAAGGGCTTTTTGTTCTATCTTCTCCCAGAGGGAGCCTGCTGTCACCTTAAATTGGGAGTAAACCAGTGCAACATGCTCTCATGTATCCTGTTAATTATTAGTGCATCTGTATTCCTGATGTCTAGCTGAAGACATACAGGCGACCCCCACACTTACAACCTAATTGGTTCCTGGAGAACTATCGTCAGTCGAGCCGTTGTAAGTCGAACCCTTATTTCCCATAGGTGCAATGTTATAAATGACGGTTCTGTTCCTGGAAATCCATGTCATACCCTCAAAATACCAAATTTGTCTACGGAAATGGAGGAAAACTAAACTAAATAGTTCAAATAATGCACAAAAATAACTAAAAAGTGAATGTGGCAGAGATGCGCGCAGTTCAAGCAGCAGTTGCAGAGTGGCGAGTCTGACTGACTTTGTACGTTTCCTGTTTTGGGACGATGCGTGGAGTCTGCATTCTACACCGTCATAAATGTGAGCTGCGGATGTAAATTGGGGGGTTTTAGGAGCTATCTTGCATGAAAACAATGGTTGTAAATGGGGGAGTTGTAAGTTGGGCAGTTGTAAGCCGGGGGTCGCCTGTACTTCCCAAAGCGGACATGGTATTTGTTGTATGGGGCATGAGCTACAATGCTATGTGGCAGAAGCAGGAGTTGTGTTAGTCTTTGTCTCCTGGTTCCACTTTTGGTATTCAAATTTCTGAGGCCAACACCCCGGCAATGGAATCTTCCCTCTTGCACAACTGGACTACACACACGTTTTACTTCTAAGAATAGCAAGTGGCATGCCACAAGTTGTTGCTGGGTTTCCTTGGCAGCTCTCCCTCCAGCTGGATCTCCACCAGAACTCTCCCAAACTGGAGTTTTCACACAGTTTTCCTATCTAAGGAGGAAGTGAGGAACCCAGTGGGGGAGGTAAATGCACACTGTGTCTCTTCTGATGTGTATATTCTCATGCTACTTTTAGGACTTCTTTATAAAACTGATCTCCTCAAAAGGCACGTCTAGACTACCCATGGCTCCTGAAAGAAGATATGCAAATTAGGAGCAAATTTGCATATCTCCTTCCGATCCCTTTTTCAGAAGAGTTTTTTTCGGAAAAAAAAGCAGTCTAGACGGGGGTCTTCACACAAATCCCCCCTTTTTTTGAAAGAATCCTTATTCCTCAAAAAATAAAGGTTTACAGGGTTCTTTGGAAAGAGGGGGATTACACGCGCAAACTGCCGGGCACGTCTAGACTACCCATGGCTCCTGAAAGAAGATATGCAAATTCACGCCTAATTTGCATATCTTCTTTCAGAAGCTGTGGGTAGTCTAGATGTAGCCAAAGAAAGCAGCACAGACACAGATTTTCTGAGCATTGTATGAATCACACATCAGTGAAATGAATCAGCCTCCTGTTAATTAATCAGGTGCCTGTTGACAAATGCAAGCTTGTAAAGGCCCCATGGTGCCCTATGGGTTGAGGTGCACTCATGACGATCTTGCATTGAAGTTTCCGCCTGGCCCACAGGAATGCAAAGTTCTGGTTGTCAGAGCAGTGAACTGGAACTCTGGTGCAGGGAGAGAAACACCTTTGCGGCTCTATTTCCTTCTGGGGCTAGGAAAGCACTATGCTTTCCATGCAGTGATCAAAATAACCTCTTCACACCCCAAGCCTATTTCCCATCGAGGAAACAAACTGCACTGGCAGGCTCAGGGTTCTCAGAAGCATCTGAGCCAGGGCTCAGGACTGCTGGAAGGGTTTAGTCTCAGAAGCAGAGGGTTCTTTTTCCCATGTCTAGGTGCAGGAAGACGGGCAAAGCGTATGCGAAGTTTGGAGAACTTGTGTTAGCTCAAATGAAGGGGAAAGCAAACGGTTCCACCCTATGTATGGTGAGTAAGCTGGCATGCAATCGAAAATAAACCTTTATGCAGAGATGCAGCCACTTCCTACATCTTCCTCAAAAGTCAAAGGTGTGGCCCTCAGATGGCATCACAAATTATATTTTCCTAGCATGGGGATTCCCAGTGAAGTACAGAGTTCTGACAGTTTTCAGCAGCACAGCTGTTCCTCTACACGGCCACACTGCACTCAGAACAAACAGACTGACTTGTGTACTAAGGGAAACATTCCCAGTTCTGCCTCAAGGGGGGGAAATGATAATTGACCCGTCGCACTTTGTAGCTGGGGTTCCGATCATTAATGACCCTACAGTGCCTGGGGCCTTCAAGATCATAACTATGGGGCATTATCGCAAGGTTCGTGTGAAATTTCACAATAACCAGGGGTATGTCTACACTGCCACCCTAGTTTGAACTAGGGTGGCTAATGTAGGCATTCGAAGTTGCAAATGTCAAGTATCAGAGGGCCGTCGCACTTTGTAGCTGGGGTTCCGATCATTAATGACCCTACAGTGCCTGGGGCCTTCAAGATCATAACTATGGGGCATTATCGCAAGGTTCGTGTGAAATTTCACAATAACCAGGGGTATGTCTACACTGCCACCCTAGTTTGAACTAGGGTGGCTAATGTAGGCATTCGAAGTTGCAAATGTCAAGTATCAGAGGGGTAGCTGTGTTAGTCTGAATCTGCAAAAGCGGCAAGGAGACCTGTGGCACCTTATAGACTAACTGAAGTGTAGTCTTCCCTGATTGGATCCACCTCGTCATCTCCAGCCTGATTCTGGCCTGCGTATTTATACCTGCCTCTGGAAATGTACATTACATGCATCTGACGAAGTGGGTCTTTGCCCACGAAAGCTTATGCTCCTACACTTCAGTTAGTCTATAAGGTGCCACAGGACTCCTCGCCGAAGTTGCAAATGAAGCCCGGGATTTAAATATCCCAGGCTTCATTTGCATCTTGCCGGGCGCTGCCATTTTTAAATCCCCCTTAGTGCGGACTCCGTGCCCGTGGCTACGTGTGGCATGGACTAGGTAGTTCGAATTAGGTTCTCTAATTCGAACTACCGTTACTCCTCGTGGAACTTCCACTCCTCGTGGAAGAGTAGGTTTCTTGCTGGTCTCACAACCACTCACTTATCCATCCAGGAAATGTCAGGAGCCGATTCCCCTTTCATAGTTAAGATGTCAACATGGACATGATCTGCCAGAGTACATTGGGGGCACGGCCACAGCTTTGCTATGCTGGTTCCACACCCACTGGGAAACCCAAGCAACACAACCAGAGCAGAGAAGTCTGCAAATCTGCCTCATATACCTGCCAGCATTTGATTATTTTGATAGCAGCCTTTAACTACCTGAACGGGGGTTCCAAAGAGGATGGAGCGAGGCTGTTCTCAATGGCGTCAGATGACAGTACGAGGAGCAATGACCTCAAGTTACAGTGGGGGAGGTCTAGGTTGGATATTAGGAAAAACTACTTCACTAGCAGGGTGGTGAAGCACTGGGATGGGTTCCCTATGGAAGTGGTAGAATCTCCATCCCTAGAGTTTTTAAGTGCCGACTTGGCAAAGCCCTGGCTGGGACATTTTAGTTGGGATTGGTCCTGCTTTGGGCAGGGGGTTGGACTCAACTTCCTGAGGTCTCTTCCAGTCCTATGATTTGTCAGAGCCCTCCAGTCCTTTTCATAGCTGTTGGTTTTATACACAGCATTACTGAGCAGGTCTTTTTTTTGTGCGTGCCCAACTTTCATTTCTATTTTCACATTCTGTGAACAGCCACAAGTGTTCGAACCTGGTGGAGAGAGAATTTTAAATGGCGTCTCCTCTTTTGTTGCGGTGTCCTGCTGTCATACTCTCCCTCTACGCTCCAATTCTTAGGCTCCCTCATGCTGACGGAAGGAAAGGAGATAAATATTTAAAAGCAGAGACTGGATTCCTCAGTCTTTGGGCCAGCAGCAGCTCTATGAAAGCAACACAGTGTGCAAATCAAATCCAATGCTGTTCTGATTCACCTAGCAGCAGCATGGAGACATCGGGATCAGCCAGGCACTTGTGGGTCACAGGCTGTAGGTTTCTCCACATTGGGGACTGCACAGACTCTTGGTTTTGCACCTGAGGTGCAGCCAGAGACAGATGAAGATGCTTCCTAGGACAGCAACACCGGTCAGTGAGCCTAAAACAACTGGGATCAGCACAGCAGAGCTGGGGCCTGAAAAGAGCAAGGGAATCCAGATGTGAACTGCACAGCAGAAGCCGTGTCTCAACCTGGCTCTGCTTTCTCCACCGTGCCAGGAAGTTCTGCAAAGTCTCCATCCCTGGGGCAGCCCACATGGATAACAGCTTTGCAAGCACTTCAGCTTCTTTGTGGCAGAAGCCCAGCAGAAGCTGTTGTGAAAATAAATTTGACAAAGATTTGAGAAATTAAGTGTCTCAAAGGGGCAATGTCTATAGATTTAATAAAAATGTTATAGTCTGTGAAATGCCAAATTGAATCTCTCTCCCGGGTCTCTAATATTTCAGTGGTATCTGACTAACGAAAAGGCTGCTGTGGGTGAAAAAGCCCCTTTTGACACCCAGTGTAAACAGCTCCTTGAAGCCTGCCTTTACAAAATTCAGCTCTGCTCTCCTCTCAATTACACTAATGCAAATGACTTCAGTGTGGTTTCTATGGGGTAAGCTACAGTACAATGTGAAAGGGCCACTATCTCTTATCCTGAATTCTTCCAGAACAAAACCTGAGAACAAAAACTGGTTTGTAGGGATGTTAAAATGGTTAACCAGTTAAATGCTAGTGCTTAACCAATTAACTGTTTAAAATTAGGGCCTGCCGCCCGGCCTGCCACCCAGCCCCGGGGTCCCGCCAGCTTCCCTGCAGCTGCGGCTGCTCCTGCTTAGCACAGCTGGCAGCCCCCCAGAGTTCACCAGCAAGTGTCTGTTATACAGTTACCTGGTAAGCATACTTGCTGGTATGCTCATCAGTTAACTGTTTAACATCCTTACTGGCTTGGCACTAAAATGGCTGCACTACTCTTTGATTTGTAAGTCCCAGGGAAAATCTAACAGACTACCCCTTTTCTTTCCCCTCATTTCTACCACAATCCAGTTACTTTCAGGTCAGGGGTGGTTACAGTTTTCCCACATTCCATTTTTTTACTACATTTGCAGTGACATTTTCCAGCAGCATTTCTAATGCCAACCAAAAAAGGAGAGATTTTGCCCATCAACATTTTTGCTATCTTTATCAATCAGCTTCATTTAAAGGGTTCTCTTAAAAGTTTGGGAAGCACGGAGCCCCCAGATGACCCCCAGATATTTGGTGGCTGGTCCTGTTTGAAAAAGGATGTGTCCAAAGGGAAAATCTACTGGATCTGCCATTGATTAACCACTGTGCTTGGGATTCAGGGAAAAGAAACCAGATCTGAGTGGCAGGCAGCTAAGTCCCACGCTGAGAGACCAGCTTAAAACAGCACTTCGGTTTGTGCTGGTTCTCTGGCACAGGACTGAATGTTGCCCTTGCAGAATTTCCCAGGTTGGCTCTTTATTGTTGCGACACTTACAATGGAAGATGAAAGCATTTCCTAGCATGGTCTTGCCTCACTGCGAGTAAAAGGCCCTACGTCTCCTCTGTCTCCATTGTGCATTTTCAAAATAGCTTCTGCAGCAAACCCAGCTGTGCCACAGTGATTAAAACATTCAGGGCTGGATTCTTTGCTGGTGCTGATCAGCGCAGCTTCATTGACTTCAATGCAGCTATGCTAATTTACACCAGATAAGGCCCTAGTTCCAGACCCGTCAGTGGGAGGGAGGGAGGGAGGGAGGGAGGGAGGGGGGCAAAAGGGCCAATTGCCCAGAGGGCTGGAAGGTGTGGGGGCCCAAGGCAGGCTGTTGGGGGCTCCAGGG